AACGATAGCAGTTTTGGTTTGTGAAGGTGTGTGCACCAGGAAGCATGTGTAAGGACTCGGGGTTGGGGGGGGGGATTGTGTCCAAGCTGTTGCCTTCCTCCAGGAACAGGGTGTGCATCAGGCAGACCTCAGCGTTTTTGGTGAAGTGGGCTAAGCTTAAGTGAATTCCTAAGAAGCTGTGTGTGCTTTAACCTCATGTAGCTCAGCAGTGGATGACTCCACCAGGAAACTGGTCCATGGCTGATCAGTGCGAGTCGGGGGTTGTCAGACACAAGAGAGAACCCTCTGGGTGCTCTGAAGATGAGGATAGATGCTTGTTCTTGGTAAAGAGCCTGGAAGGCCCAGAGCCAGTGTGTGTGTCCCACTGGGGGGTGTTTACCTCCTTTACCTGAGGAGATGCAGTGTGTGTCCCACTGGGGGGGTGTTTACCTCCTTTACCTGAGGAGATGCTTCAGAGAAAGGCTGTTACTATCTGTGCTAGAGGGAAGAGGAAATGTCCCAGCCCATATAACCTTGTCTTTCCTCCAGGCCGTGCACCACAGCCGGATCAAGTTTGCCTAGCTCCAGCTGCCATCCTGGAAGCATGAAGGTGGTCCTGAATCAGTCATTTAGGATTGGAGCCTTGCTTGCAGTGATGTGCAGCAGGACTGTCTGTGCAGGCTGTGCAAAGCATGAGCTGTCTGCCTCAGGTGTTTTCTCTAGGGCATGTTTACATAGTCAGGGTGTTTGCAGAGCACCTGAGGTGAGGCATGCCAGAAAAGCCCATGTTCTGCAAGTGCAGGTGGCCTGGGGGTAGCTGTTGCAGCTGGGTGTGTGCTTGTCGAGGTGGGCTGTAAGTGCAGGTCATGTGTCCTGGCCATTGCAGGCTTGAGATCTATAGAAGTGAGGCAGGCCACAGGAATGAGGTGGACCTGGAGCTCTTTGAGCCAGGACCATGAGAGGAGCCATCTTTCTGGTGATCCTTGAAAGAAGAGAATGGTCACTTAAGAAATGTTAGGCGTAATTACCGAGAGGCACCAATCTGAAAGAGGGTGGGGAGGATGGAGATGGGATGGCATCACTCTATCCTGGGCTGAAGAAAAAGCTCCGAAGTTCAAAGTAGCATGGATGCTCAGTTATGCTCTATTGATACCAATGGAAGATGAAGTGGGTCTGTCTCGGGTTTTTTGGTTTGTTCCCCCTCCCTGGAGATTAGGATCTGACAAGGCCCACTCAATGTTTGCTGTAGCAGCATGTTTATGGTGTGCCTTGCTGCTGGCACCCATGCACACAGAGTAGTATTGCCAGAAAATGCCAGTACCTTGTATAAGAAGAACTGGAACGCAAACAGCTCCAGATAATGCTTGCCCTTTATCTTCCATATTCTTCCCCCCCTCCCCAAGGTTGTGCTTACCGGTAGAGCTCTGGGGTCTCCTGTGGGCTACTGGAAGAGTCTCTGTCGTGGAGCTTGCCTGATGGCACACAGCACAAGCAAACAGACCCTGGAGAGGTGGGCTGTGGCATAACTGGTGGGCTGTGGCTCCTGGAGGTGACCCTGAGGTTACTGCGGCAGTGAGGCTGAACTATAGGGGTGTGATACCTACCCCCAAGACTGAGAATTCCCTTCTGTTGACTGCAAACCTGTTCCTCCTCTGCTCCACTGCTCACTGGGTGTTCCAGTGTCAACATGGAGCATCCAGATTATTACTATTTTTTCCCCCTTTTGAACGAGAACATCTGTACCGAGGTCATGGCATAAACTCAATTGGTTTGTCACTGTGGCTTCAGGAATGTTTCTGCAAGCAAGGCTTTTTATATTGTCTGACATGTTTTTTAAAGCACAAATGTTTTGTTATTGGTCTTCTCTGAAAATGGATTGGAGTCCAATTCTGTCAGGCAATCAGGATGAATTTTTACAGCTGCAAAAGCATAGTTAGCGGTCAACTGCTTTAATACTCCTTTCTGGCTAAAGTAGAAATGCTAAACATTGAAAATACCTGTTGTGAAATCAAAGCCCCTATAGGTAAAATTTGCCATTGGAAAATGATGTTGTATTTTAATTTAAGGAGCATATAGATTTCAAGCTGAAGACAAAGTTTGTTTGACCAAATCTTAAAACTCAACGTGCTGCCTGCAGCTCCTGTCTCTGCATCACCGAGATGGCACAGGGAAAAGCGTGGCCGAGGGGATGGAGCAGCTGTCTTGTGAGGAGAGACGGAAAAGGCTGAGTGAGACTCCTCCGTTTTTGGAAAGGAGAAAGCAAAGCAGAGAGATGAGAGAGGTTTAAGAAATCACAAAACCAGCAGACAGACTGAATGCAGAAGTGCTCCTTGCCAAACCCTGCAAATAGTGGAGCTAAGGGGGACTAGCTTAAACTAGTGGAGGATTGGTTTAAAACGGGTGGGAGAAGGCGCTTTACACAGAGGGCAGGCTGTTGGTGGGTTGCAGCAGGGTGCTGCTTGTGGTCTTTGCACCAGTGCAGGTAAGCGCAGGCTGAAAATGAGCTGTCTCATCTGAGATGCTGTTAATTTTTATTGCTATTTTTTTTTTAGAACAGGCTGAGCATATGAAAGACATCAAATTCTCAGGCACAGGTCAGATGCTTGGAAAAATGCACTTCTGGGAATTTGCGGCCAAAAGATTTAGTGACCTGTGAAAGCTTAAGTATGTAGAGTGGGAATATTTACAGCTCTGCTATCAAAGATAATGTACAAAAGCAATTAATCCTGCCTTCCAGGGCATTACCAAGTAGTCCCATCTCACCGGTCATTCACCGGGACTCAGTGGGAGAGCTACAGGGGTGGGGAGGACTGGGAGATACTCCTAGCTAAGATATGCTAAGTTCAAAAAAAAGTTCATCAGTGAGGTGCAGGAGTTTTCAGCGGGGGTTCACCCCCCACCCTCCTCATCTCCCTGAAGTCCTGCAGTGCTATGTGGCTGGTT